GATAACTATATAGTTATCTATATAATTTCTTTGAGGTTCTTCATAATTTGAGTGTAAAAGGGTCCTCTGACCAAAAAAGTTTGAGACTACCTGAATTAGTGTTGTTTAGGGCTACACTGTTCAACATGGTAGCCACTAGCTATATGTGGTTACTGAGTACTTGAAATGTGGCTGAGAAACTGAATTTTTAATTTTATTTAATTTTAATTAAGAATATAAAATTAAAGCAGTGGAAAACTTCTTTATATTGATTACATGTTGAAATGACAATATTTTGGATATACTGGGTTAAATGAAAGGTATTAATATGACTTTTTTTTTTTTTTGACCGGTAAGGGGATCACAACCCTCGGCACCACGCTCAGCCAGTGAGCGCACCGGCCATCCGTATATAGGATCCGAACCCCTGGCCTCAGCGCTACCAGCACCGCACTCTCCTGAGTGAGCCATGGGGCCGGCCCTTAATTTCACTTTTTTTACTTTTTGAAATGTGGCTACTAGAAAATTTAAAATTATATGTGGCATATATTTTTATTGGACAGCTGTGGTTTAGAAAATAATTTTAGTTCTTTTTCCCTTTTATACCCTATGACAATGATATTGATTACATAAGGTCAAGGTAAAGGTAGAGTGTCCCAGACATTTTTTTTTTACCTTTTCCCCATTTCATTGCATTCATTTGTATTCATCCACCTATTACTGTTACAGCCTTTGGGCAGTAGAGGATAGATAAACTGGTAAATCAGGTGCAGTAGTGGAGTGATGACCTTGTAATATTAGTTTTTGGTGTTGCTTGTAGGGGAATACCACTAGTGTTTTCTAATTTGTTTCTATTGCCCTGACTAAATTGCTTCTAAATTTTATTTTTGACTTGAGAACATTGTTTTGAGCTGGATCCATTGCCAGCATTCTCTTATGCAAAGCTGAGAGGTCTGCCTCTTGTCACACTTAATTACCAAGTTTGGTATTTTGTAACAGCTGTTGAGTGAGTATGGAATAGTCTACGGTACAAACACTGGTTAATTAGAAGGACAGAAATGGAACAAGAAGATTTTCACCAATAGTAAATGAGGGCATAAGCAAATTTTATTTTTTGCACTATAATTAAAATTAAGATAGTTTTTGAAATTTATTTGATGCATTTTATTTCTTGAAAAAAGATTGACCAGCAATACCAACTGCTAGTGGTAACTACAGAATGATACCTGTCAGATTACTTTTAGCTTCATTGTTTCTATTTTTAAAATGAGTTGCTTATTTTTTCCTCCCATAAATTTCATACACAGATCTAGAAAGATACCAGTAAATCAAGTTTTAAATAAGAGATGAGGAAATTTTGTTTTTCAGCTCTTGCTTGTAGTTTGCTTACTTTGATTGCACAACACTGTTAAATTCATGTTTATCCTTAAGAATTGTGCAAAATTTTAGTTTAAATTTTAGTATTGAAAAGCTTTAAAAAAGTATAGAAATTTGAATAGAAATATTTTTAAAATTTCTATCAAATTACTATGTCAACAAAAGTAAAAAGATAGTGCTCACTCTTACAAAATGGGTGAAGTATTCTTGGAAACTCATTGGTATATTATTGTAAACTAATCTGTGAGTGGGCTCATAGATTTTTGTTTGTGTTTAGTGTTGAGTTAGTAAATAAAAATGACAAGAAGTAAAATTATAACCAAAAAAAGAAATCAGTGCTCTTTTTAACAAGCTCTATTAGCTTGCTTACAGAGTAACTTTAAATTATTTTACACTTTAATTTAATTTGGGAATATTTTACTTCTACTTATGTTTTTTTTGATGCTGTCTGAACTATTATGAAGCCAGAGGTCCATTCACACTTGTATCTCAGGTTTATAGTGCAGGGACTGGCACATGGTAAATGACAGTTTGTTGATTGTACCTAGAGTATTAGATCTTCTGATTGATAATTCAGAGATAATTTATGCATATATAATATTCTCATCCTAAATTTGAAGTATGAATTAGGAAGTTTTTTTATTAAGTTTGTATTATTTCATTTATTTTACTCTGTAAATATAAAATATTTTGGAGATGTAATATGTTGAATTTGGGGGGGAAGGGAGAGGTTGAGGCCAGAAATATGAACAAGAAAATACACTTTTAAGAAATAATTTCCACTGACATAACAAACTAAACATGAAATCATGGTTTTGAAAATGTACCTCAAACATAAGAATTCAGGGCCCATAAAATGTAACTGTTAGACAAATTTCATTTTGTTTTTACCTTAAAACATTAAAAATGTGGTAATATTCTATTGCTGTATTATTACTGAATACTTGTAGCTCTGGTTTTAATGTGGTAGAGTTTTTAGTGTGTATCTTAATACAATTACATAAGGAATTAGTTTACTCAGGATGGTTTATTAATAGCACCTAAGACAACAACTAAATTACAACACAAGCAGACTTTAAAGAGAATGGTTCCTAGAATAAATTTTTTAAATGTAAGAATTTGCTTTCTAAGGTTCTTTAGTGTGAGTATTGTAGGGAGGAACTTTGAAAAATTTTTTTTGAGAATGGTAATATATTTTATACTTCATAATATTGAGTTTCTTAAAGTTGAGCTAGAAGAGCTGATTGAATCCTTTGCTTCAGTGAAGCTGCAGATAAGAGTAAGCAGGGTCACCTAAAGATAGATTTACTTAGAGGTTTGGCTGCCTCTCTGGAACCATTTAGCTTTGAGCAGATTTCCATAAATGGAAAGAGCAACTGGAGAGACCCAGTACCTTGGTTGAGAGTGTGGATGATGTGCAACAGGTGGTAAAACAGTCCTTGGATTTTTTAAAAATAAATGCTCTCCAAATAACTGGTATTTAAGGCTGAGGCTTTAGCATTTGGTTAGTTTTGAGACTAAGTGGATTGTTTTTCCCCATAAAAATTTCCTGGAAACAGTTTTAAAAGATTCATATCTTTAGTGTGTAGTGCTTGTGAATTTGTAACATGATTTTATGAAATTTGTATAAACATTTACTTTTAGTTCCTTAAAGAGACATCTTGAGAAAAATCTCTCAAATTAGAAACTTACATACTCACATTTTGTAACTTCTTCCCAACCAAGTAAATGTCAATATTTTAAGTAAGGATGTGAGATTAATATATCATTAAGAAGTTTGTTCTTGAATTGCCAATTTTCTTGTAAGATTAGTGGGTTGTCCTTAATTCATTACATAAAATAAATATTTATGTGTTTACTATATGAAAAGTCTATATTAGGAACTATAGCAGATGTAAAGATGGGTTAACATAGGTCTGCTCCCCCTACCTCAAGGAGCTTATAGTCTTGCAGGAGTGATGAGACATTATCACCATTTATTGAGTTCTTATTTATATGCCAGGCACTGTGCTAAGATATTTATGGGAATCACTTCACTTAATTCTCACAACTATGTGAGGTAAGTAATATTCCTGTTTTGTGAAAGAGGAAACTGAGGGTTAAGAGAGTAAATTTCTTGCCTAGTATAACAGAAATAATAAGTGGCAGAGACTAGAACCCAAGCTGTTGGATCTGAAAACCCAGACCACTGCTGTACACTTTACTGATTCACAAGTAACTTAATCAGCAAAACATAAAAAGAAGAGCTGGAAGAGAAGTACAGAGGATGGTGGAATTAGAAAAGCCTTCATGGGGGAAAAATAGAGACTCTCTTAAAAAAAATTTCTTAGGTAAAACCCAGCAAAATCCTGTGAGGTTCTAAGAGGAGAGCAAGATTATTGTGAAGAAAATTCCCAAGTGCTCTGGCACTAAAGCTAATATGTGTTGTTATTCATCTCCAGGCAGGGATGTTACCTCTGGCTTTAGTGGCAATACATCAAAACACACAGTTGACCTCACAGGATTGTTAATCTATAATCCTTCTTTCCCCCCATCCCCAAATTAAATTTTGGCCTAAAATTGATGCAGGGTTCAAATTTCAAGAGTCTTTGTTTTCCTTTATATAAGATTCAGAAACTTGACAGTAATTTCTAATCAACCTCATTGGTAGCTTTAATAATCAACATTTATTTTACAAAGAGCAGATACTAGCTTATTTTGGTTTTTAAATTATTTCTGTAAATAATTTATATAGACTAATGTATCAATGGCTTGTTTAGAGTTATTCACATGGAAGTTAATTTATATTTATTTCTTATACAGTAATGTGTTTTAGTTTAGTAATGTGTTTAGTACATTTTTAATTGAGTAGGACTTATTTTTCCACCAGTGGAAGCATCAGTTCATAGCAGTAATGCACACTGTACAGATAAGACAATTGAAGCTGCTGAAGCCCTGCTTCATATGGAATCTCCTACCTGCCTGAGAGATTCAAGAAGTCCTGGTACGTGAACTGTTCATTTTTATATAAAACATATCACATTACTTCATATATCTAGAATGAAGATAGAGTTCTCAAAGGTCTATTATTCATGAGTACCTGACAGCAATAATTGATCTTTGTCAAAGTCCGTAAATCTCAAATACTTTAAATATTTAATTTTCATAATAAAAGATACAGAAAATGGCCACTATAGACAGATGAATATTTATTAAATAGCTATTTATACTATTATATCTATTTCCTTAACTCTAGTTAAATTACAAGCCTTTGTAATCCTTACGAGTATGGCAGATTGGGGCAGTTGCCTCCTATGACCACTTTCAGTCCTTTGTTCAGTGATAGATAGGCAGTAACTCCAAGAACCATCCATAGTAGAGAAAGGAGGGAACTTACATAATTTTCGTACTTCCTTCAGCCTGCAAGTTTTCCTTTTCTTTTGGTCCCCTGCTTTTTTTTTCTTTTAATAACTTTAAAAAACATTTTTTTTTTTCTTTTTGGCAGCTGGCCAGTACTAGGATCTGAACCCTTGATCTTGGTGTTATGAGGCCCATGCTTCTACCCAAGTTAGCTAACCGACTAGCCCCCCCCCCCCCCCTCTTTTTTTTTTTTTTTCTTTTTGGCCGCTGGCCAGTACTAGGATCTGAACCCTTGATCTTGGTGTTATGAGGCCCATGCTTCTACCCAAGTTAGCTAACCGACTAGCCCCCCCCCCCCCCCTCTTTTTTTTTTTTTTTCTTTTTGGCCGCTGGCCAGTACTAGGATCTGAACCCTTGATCTTGGTGTTATGAGGCCCATGCTTCTACCCAAGTTAGCTAACCGACTAGCCCCCCCCCCCCCCCTCTTTTTTTTTTTTTTTCTTTTTGGCCGCTGGCCAGTACTAGGATCTGAACCCTTGATCTTGGTGTTATGAGGCCCATGCTTCTACCCAAGTTAGCTAACCGACTAGCCCCCCCCCCCCCCCTCTTTTTTTTTTTTTTTCTTTTTGGCCGCTGGCCAGTACTAGGATCTGAACCCTTGATCTTGGTGTTATGAGGCCCATGCTTCTACCCAAGTTAGCTAACCGACTAGCCCCCCCCCCCCCCCTCTTTTTTTTTTTTTTTTTTTTTTTTTTTTTAAAGACTGACTTTGGTAGTAATTTTGTGCTAATTTTAATTTGCTCTAATTTAAATTTAATGTCCAAATGTTATTTGACTTGATACAGTGAGATTTGCCCCTTCTCATAGAGATTTACAATAAATGCTAAGAGCAACTGTGCTTTTTAAATTGGAATAGGAATCTCATGTATTATTCAGGGATATGAGAAGAAAATTAGTACATTATTGGTGAATGTGTTAATCCATGATAGTATGTATTAACTATATCTCTTAGTTGAAATAGAAATACTGTAACCTGATTATTCATGTATATTGGAAGGAAGCTAGAGGAATGTTATTGTTCATAATAGAATACCAGATAACAATCTGTTTGTACTGTTTTAGTGACTCAAAACATCAGGACTGTTCCATTAAATAAAATTTTAAATATTGAAAGATGATATTCATTGATCTGTAACAAGCAGGTTTTCCTTTTCTTATTATAAATTGAACTATAGGTGCTTACTTTTTACTGAATACGTGTTTACAAGTCTTTTTAAAATTTTGTACCACGTGCACATATTATCTAGTTAAAGAATACTGATGGATATGTGGACCAAAAGTAATTATTAAGAACTCTAAGAACTCACTATTATACTATTATTTTCTTTTCTTTCCTTTTTAAAATTTTGTACCACGTGCACATATTATCTAGTTAAAGAATACTGATGGATATGTGTACCAAAAGTAATTATTAAGAACTCTAAGAACTCACTATTATACTATTATTTTCTTTTCTTTCTTTTTTTTTTCTTTTATCGCAACCCTCAGTGTCGCGCCCGTACTGGACCGGGACCGGCAATGGGATCACAACCCTCGGTGTTGCTCCCACACCTCGCTCAGCCAGTGAGCGGGAACTGGTCTGTATGTGGGATCCGAACCCTCGGCAGGAGGTGGCGCACTGTAGCAGTGCGCCACTGGGCCGGCCCCTATTATTTTATTTTCAAATGTCTTCCCAACTGTCAAAATAATTCAAAGTTCTTCTACACTGAGCTTGAAAGTATCTAAGTGTGAAGAAAGTGGGGGGGTGACTACTCAGTGATCTTTGCCTTACCCAAAAGATTAATATTTCCTTCAAGTTGATTTTATTTGTATACTTTAGATCATATTGAATGTTTAGCAAGTTAAATCCTTCAGTGTTAAATTCTTGTCCTAGACCTCACCTCTTCTGAAATATTGAACTGTCCTCATAAGAAACATTAATGGGGGTGGGAAATCTTAATTTTTCAACTTTTTTTTATAGTGGAAGTGTTTGTCCCTCCTTGTGTATCAACTCCAGAATTTATCCATGCTGCTATGAGGCCAGATGTCATTACAGAAACTGTAGTGGAGGTGTCAACTGAAGAGTCTGAACCAATGGATACCTCTCCTATTCCTACATCACCAGATAGCCATGAACCAATGAAAAAGAAAAAAGGTAGAGTATATTTATAAATTTCTGAGAAAGCAGATGAAATTTTTGTGGTATCTTTTTTTCCCATCAAGGGACATAGAATATAGGCTGGTCTGATGGTATTGGGTTATCAAAACTTGCTAACATTAGTGTCACTAAAGTTGGTATACAACCCCCTACTGTTAAATTTGACTGGCTTAAAGGGGGCTGGGGGCCAGGAAATAATATATGCTATATTATTGATGTTACCTTAACTAGATACTCTAAAAGAATCCACAAGTTAAGATTTTAATTTTGTATTTTTACATATTCATATTGTTTAAAGGAGTTAGTATTTAAGCCCTGAAGGTACTTACCTGGAAATGAGATTGTAACGGGTGTTGGACACATACAAGAAAGATCAGAGATTCCTTGCACATTTGTCTTACCCTTTCTTCCTTCTACTTTCTGATCTTTTTATAACTATTTGGTTACTTTAAAAAAAAATCTTTTTAAATTTTCACATTTTTCATAGTCTTGCCTTCTCCCTCTTTTGTGGACATTGTTTTAAAAAGCCATATACTATTTTCTTCTCCATACCTTCTGCTTTAAAACACTAAGATGGCTAATAGAGACTTCTAATTGGTATGAACTCACCAGTGGGTAAAGAGAAGAGTATTTTCTTTCTTATTTTTTGAGGCTGGCCTGTATGGGGATCTGAACTCTTGACTTCGGTATTTTTAACACCAAGCTCTAACCAACAGAGCTAGCCAGCCAGCCCAGTAAAGAACATTTTCATTTATTATTTGACTCCACTGAAACTTCTGTTCACCTGAAACCAATGGGTGAGGCACAAGGCTCCAGCATATCTCCAACATCATGAGGAAACGGGCAGTAAAAGTGGGTCCTTTCCTGGGGCCAGCCCGGTGGCGCACTGCGCTAGTGCACCGCTTGGGAAGTGCAGAGGCGCTCCCGCCGAGGGTTCGGATCCCACATACAGACCGGTTCCTGCTCATTGGCTGAGCGAGGCACGGGGGCAACACCGAGGGTTGCGATCCCGTTGCCGGTCCCGGTCCGGTACGGGGGTGACACTGAGGGTTGCGATCCGTTGCCGGACACGGAAAAAAAGACAAAAAAAAAAAAA